GTTACCTTGTCAGCCTGCAGGAACTACTAGTGATCTGGACCATTATTTTAAAGTGAAAAACACGTTAACCCCTCAGTAATTACTCACAAGTAAATTAATAAGTTATTTAACATATTTTATATCTGACATACTGTACAGTCATACATTTGTGTGACGCACTAGTGATATTTTACCAGTAGGTCTTTTGGAGTGGGATACATTGATACTGAACTGACACGAAGCAGAGATCATAATTGTGAACTAATTCAATCATGAGCTTGTCAGCATCACTTCTTAATTATTAACCTTTTTAAGTGAATTTTCATTTTTATTACTACTATGTTTAAGTTTGAACATCCATCCTTTGGTAAGAGTAGTAGTCACAATTTTAAAATGTAGCCGACTTATTTGGGGGATATCAAATTCATAAATTAGTTTCCACAAAGAACCCAATTGTTCACTTTTAAGACGTTACTGTTGTGATTAGTAATTAATTGGTTATTCTTTATTAACCGGTCATAGTTCGCAAGTAGTTCTCAATGAGGATATTTTTATTTAATAATTATCAAATATCTAATAAGGAACAACCTTTGTCCTAAACCTTTGTTACCACATTAATGCCTTCAATTTAATGCGAGCAGAACAAGCATTATAAACATGATTGAAAGCTTAATAGCACACTATGATGATACAATGGTATCAGTTACTGATGAATTGCAGAAATGTTTGTTTGCAGTGTCAAAAACGAAAAAATAAATAAATAAATAAACAAATAGTGAAATTTATACAAGTACTGGTGTAATTCAATAGAGCGTTGCATTTCTACGTCATTGGATCAAAAGATAAAATGAGTAACTTTGAGCTGTTGTTTCCACTACTGAATTTGAGATACAGACCCCGCATTTGGCTAGACAAATCTTAAGACCCTCTCAAATGAGGGAGCCAAATTTCAACTTCCTAATATATACACAGTTCTAGAAACTGCCAAAGACCTCCAGCCTTATCTCTGAAACACTTCTCACCGTTGTGGAGAAAATATACAAGAGCTCAAGAACATCTGGAAGTCCTCGCTCCACAGGAGACACAAGCAGATGGTCAAACACTGTATTGATGACGACATTCTGTGGCACACCAGGTTGAGTATTAACAATCAGTCCAACCATCTGCTCTGGAGTGAGATTGTCCAGGGTCTCGAGCTGAAGACACAAAAAAGAACAAGAGAATAACAGTGAGTGGGAAAAGTTCAACAGATAAAACTGATGATGTTGGTATTTGTAGATGTATTTCTTCTCATCATCTCTGTTCTTTGAATAACATGTGGAGACATACGGGATCAAAGAGTCCGTTGATGGAGAGCAGA